TTCGACTTGTAAGATTATTTTTTTTTTTTTGTTTTTTTTTTTATTTATTTTTGTTTTTTTATTTGTTTGTTTTTGTTTCGTTTATTTATTTATTTTGTTTTTATTTAGTTGTTTCTTTTTATTTATTTCGTTTTTGTTTTTTTTTTGTTTTTTTTTTTGTTTGGTTGTATTACACAAATGAAATTCTTATTCGACTTGTAATATTATTTTTTTATTTATTTTTTTTTTTTTTTATTTTTATTTATTTTTTTTGTTTTTATTTATTTGTTTTATTTATGTATTTATTTGTTTGCTTATTTTGTTTTTGTTTATTTGTTTTTTTATTTATTTATTTCCTTTTTTTTTATTTGTTTATATTACACAAATGAAATTCTTATTCGACTTGTAAGATTTTATTTTTATTTTTTTATTTTTTTTTTTTTTGTTTTTATTTATTTTTGTTTTTTATTTGTTTATTTTTGTTTTTATTTGCTTGTTTATTTCGTTTTTATTTATTTGTTTTTTTTATTTATTTATTTAATTCTTTTTTTATTTGTTTGTCATACACATATGAAATTCTTATTCGACTTGTAAGATTTTATTTTTTTATTTTTATTTATTTTTTTTTTGTTTTTATTTATTTTTGTTTTTTTATTTGTTTATTTTTGTTTTTATTTGTTTGTTTGTTTTTATTAATTTATTTAATTTTTTTTTTGTTTGTTTATATTACACAAATGAAATTCTTATTCGACTTGTAAGATTTTATTTATTTATTTATTTATTTATTTTTATTTATTTATTTATTTATTTATTTTTATTTATTTTTGTTTTGTTTATTTGTTTGTTTTTGTTTTGTTTATTTGTTTATTTTGTTTTTATTTATTTTCTTTTTTTGTTTTTATTTGTTTATCATACACAAATGAAATTCTTATTCGACTTGTAAGATTATTTTTTTTTTATTTTTTTTTATTTTTTTTGTTTATTTTTGTTTTTATTTATTTTTGTTTTTTTATTTGTTTATTTTTGTTTTGTTTATTTGTTTTATTTTTGTTTGTTTTTATTTATTTCGTTTTTGTTTTTTTTTGTTTTTTTGTTTGGTTGTATTACACAAATGAAATTCTTATTCGACTTGTAAGATTATTTTTTTTTTATTTTTATTTGTTTTTGTTTTTATTTATTTTTGTTTTATTTTTATTTATTTATTTATTTGTTTGTTTATTTTGTTTTTATTTATTTATTTACTTTTATTTATTTCGTTTTCGTGTATTTGTTTGTGTGTTTATTTACTTTATTTTTATTTATTAATTTTTTTATTTTTATTTAT